ATTATAGCTAAGGTAATAAAAATGCCAAATTATTTTGAACAACAGGTTTTTAAAATTTTCCAGCCTGGTTTTTAAATACTATACTGGTAATTTATTGAGAAACAGCAATGCCTGCTGTGATAATGACTCTTAAGTAGAGGTATTCTTCTTTGATGTTTAATTGGATTATTGAGATAAGATTCTGGCAAAACCTGGTTCACCAACCCGCCTGAATACCCTTTTAAAGGTAAATGGGACAGTAACAGCATGTGGGTTCACATCTAAAAAAACCTCTTCAATCAAATGGAAATTTTCCGTATGTATTGATGTCTAATTTAAAGAAAATATATTCTGAGAATATTTGCAAGTCACGCCCTTGAGCTTTTGCGCGAGGCAGCCGTGGCACCAGAAATTTGCCGCCAAGGGTCCAACATGTCTGAACCCAAGGGTCCGACATGTCTGAGCCCAAGGGGTCGACATGTCTGAGCCCAAGGGGTCGACATGTCTGAGCCCAAGGGGTCGACATGTCTGAGCCCAAGGGGTCGACATGTCTGAGCCCAAGGGTCCGACATGTCTGAGCCCAAGGGGTCGACATGTCTGAGCCCAAGGGGTCGACATGTCTGAGCCCAAGGGGTCGACATGTCTGAGCCCAAGGGGTCGACATGTCTGAGCCCAAGGGGTCGACATGTCTGAGCCCAAGGGGTCGACATGTCTGAGCCCAAGGGGTCGACATGTCTGAGCCCAAGGGGTCGACATGTCTGAGCCCAAGGGGTCGACATGTCTGAGCCCAAGGGGTCGACATGTCTGAGCCCAAGGGGTCGACATGTCTGAGCCCAAGGGGTCGACATGTCTGAGCCCAAGGGGTCGACATGTCTGAGCCCAAGGGGTCGACATGTCTGAGCCCAAGGGGTCGACATGTCTGAGCCCAAGGGGTCGACATGTCTGAGCCCAAGGGGTCGACATGTCTGAGCCCAAGGGGTCGACATGTCTGAGCCCAAGGGGTCGACATGTCTGAGCCCAAGGGGTCGACATGTCTGAGCCCAAGGGGTCGACATGTCTGAGCCCAAGGGGTCGACATGTCTGAGCCCAAGGGGTCGACATGTCTGAGCCCAAGGGGTCGACATGTCTGAGCCCAAGGGGTCGACATGTCTGAGCCCAAGGGGTCGACATGTCTGAGCCCAAGGGGTCGACATGTCTGAGCCCAAGGGGTCGACATGTCTGAGCCCAAGGGGTCGACATGTCTGAGCCCAAGGGGTCGACATGTCTGAGCCCAAGGGGTCGACATGTCTGAGCCCAAGGGGTCGACATGTCTGAGCCCAAGGGGTCGACATGTCTGAGCCCAAGGGGTCGACATGTCTGAGCCCAAGGGGTCGACATGTCTGAGCCCAAGGGGTCGACATGTCTGAGCCCAAGGGGTCGACATGTCTGAGCCCAAGGGGTCGACATGTCTGAGCCCAAGGGGTCGACATGTCTGAGCCCAAGGGGTCGACATGTCTGAGCCCAAGGGGTCGACATGTCTGAGCCCAAGGGGTCGACATGTCTGAGCCCAAGGGGTCGACATGTCTGAGCCCAAGGGGTCGACATGTCTGAGCCCAAGGGGTCGACATGTCTGAGCCCAAGGGGTCGACATGTCTGAGCCCAAGGGGTCGACATGTCTGAGCCCAAGGGGTCGACATGTCTGAGCCCAAGGGGTCGACATGTCTGAGCCCAAGGGGTCGACATGTCTGAGCCCAAGGGGTCGACATGTCTGAGCCCAAGGGGTCGACATGTCTGAGCCCAAGGGTCCGACATGTCTGAGCCCAAGGGGTCGACAAGACTTGGTCGACGACCTGGAAAGAACAAATTCCTTTGTAAGGGTTCACGGGGAGAGTTTTTATGACTTAGTATGGTCCAAAATGTGCTTGTAGACCACAATTTTAGGGATTGGCAGTCAAAATAACGTTACTTAGATAGGCAAATTATTATTTTTTCTAATTTTTGGTTTGACGACCTAGTCGTGCGTTGGACGACAGGGGTCCAGGCATGTCAGACGGGGAAGGGGAAAAAGCCCACCCTGCCCCTTGCTGGCGCCGCCACTGGTGCGAGGAAAGGCCGGGATGTAGAGTTGGGCGTAAAGTAGAGAGTGGACTTACACGCGAGGAACTACGGTATTTTAATTTATCAATTTTTTGAACTGATTCTGCAATTTGCTGTCCCATCAGACAAATCAAAGTATTTTAGAATCAAAATACTATATATTTGAAACTATAGACTATACTGAAAAAACAACAGAAAAATAATGGATATAAATTTTTAAAATGTTGTCCAGAACAAAATAAGACATTTTAAAATATAAAATCATATTTAATAATTATTGTAATATATATATATATATATATATATATATATATATAATTGATATAATATACTTTATATGTAATATAATGTATATTACATATTTTATAAATTAAAAGGCAAAATACTGATAAACGACAATGCTGTATAGGAATCAATGGCTAGATTTTGGTAAAGATACAAAATTAATAGGAAAAAGCTGAAATGTAAAGGTAAGAAATAGAACACATTTCCTTTGATATGGAAGACAATACAATCTATCTTGTATTGTCTTGCAATATGATATCATAATAACAATAAAATATAATACTAATAATTATAACAATAAAAACAACAATGATAATTATAACAATAACAACAATCCACCTGAAGAAGTCTAGGCCTACAGTGCATACAAAAGCTTGTGAAAATAAAATATCAAAATGCTACTTTTTGCTTTCTTATGTTTTTTGTATTTTCATTTTTAAAAAAGATTTATTCGGTTTTTTTATATAGCGCCTTTCTTTGCAGATACTAAGTGCTTCTGTCCTAGCCTTAATCAGCGCGGGAGCATGCAACCCCACCAGCACCAATTTATTATACTCCTGGGTAGAGAGAAGCAAGTGTCTTACTCAAGGCACAAGCAAAATACACAGCGAGGGATTGAAACCCCAACCTCTAGGTTGGAAAACCAAATTAACCCGCTGCACCAAACCAATTTCCACGAATATAAATCTACTCTCTTAATAACAAAATTACTAAGTTTAAATTTCTTTTGTCTAGTTCTTTACAAATATATCTCTGTATATATACTACATCTTTTTTCTTATCCCTCAACGATCTATTTTACATCTACAGTGGAATCAAATAAACTATATATTTATATTCTATTCATGATCTATCAAACTATTTTCAATATAATCTATATCTCAGTATGATGCTTATGGAGTGGAGTTGTTCATTCGAGTTATTCAAGATGAAGCATGTTTGACAATCAAGGAGGTAATCCCTGACCTGATATTTACTACAGGTACAGAACAGAATCCTCCACTGCTAACCCTTGTGGTACCCGGTTCAATAGCCTTTCTCCTGCGCCCTCAAAACGACGGTGTAGAAGCATACGCACACACATACATGTTTATAGAACATGCATATATCCTGGCACCGTTCTGATTGGTTAGTTTGACTCTTCGGTAAGGTCCATTCCAACCCCCGCCCCCCCTCACCAATACGGTCTATACTGTACGTATGTTAAAGAATGCAGTATATCTACAACAAAAAGTTAGGAGATTGTCTGCCGGGTACTGCCCAATCACCACCAGAAGGACCCAATTGGATGCATAAGTATATCCAGTTTCAAAATTCAATTCTTTATAAAGTCAGTGTAAGGCTTAAGATGAAATGCTGTTGTCATGTCTAGTGTAAATGGGGCTTTATAGTGTTGATTTCTTTTTTCATGATTTAGTCATCCATTCCCATTATCACATTATTGGTATAGTGGGAGCCTTGACCTTAACCTTAAAAAAAAACAACAGCTCCACTTGTAAGGATACTATTAAACATATAACAGCTCTATATAACTAAAATAATAATATAGCACCAAAATCAGCACACTATTTTTGAACTTGATCTGTAACATCACCTTGTTTTACTGAAGTTACACTCAGTCAATCACTCACTCAGTTGTGTAAATTAAGCTCATTATATGTCCAATTGATCCATAAAGTTTTTGTTTTTTTTAAATATGGATATATTTAGAGGAAATATTTAAAAAATTATATATTAAATACATCCCACTCATCACTGTAAGAGCACATATTTTATCTGTAAAATTAGTCTTAGCACAACACTTAATCTTTAAATTTATAATCTTAATAATAAATATAAATTTGGTGAGTTGATCTTCAAATATATAGTAAAAAGAAGGAAATTACGGTACTCTATTTGGTGGCATGTCTTTGGAATGTTTTAAAAATATCAACAAGCTTTCCACTGGATACCTGTAGCTCTTCCAACATTTGAACTGCCATGTTGACCTCAGATTCAAGGTCAGCGGGAATGTCGCTGATGATTATTTTTCGAAAATTTGATAGAAACCCCAAGAGATTCAACTTCGCATTTCTACCATGACACATCGACTGCACACAGGAAACACCTGAATAAACAAGCAAATAAATGATTAAATAAAAAATCTAATAATTAGAATAATAATAATAATTCTGGATTTATGTAGCACCTTACGTTCTCACAGCATCGAGGTGCTTAACAGCAACATAGAGAAGATTAATAAAATAAACCATAAACTAATGTACAAATGTACAGTAAATTATTTATCCAATATATTTTCGTGGGCTTAGTTTTAATTTAATTTAAAAATTAACTTGATGAATATTTATTTTGATATTAAATTACTATTAAATTAAGTATAGCTAATGCAATTGAATTATTTTGATGTGTATTTACACTATGTAGGACAAAAACCACCTAGAACAATAACCAATGGACAAAAACCATCCAAAATGGAATATACCATTGTTAAAGTGGGGTGGGCAGTAGGGTGAACAATGTTGGGCGGGTTGATGTGTATAAGAGACAGGTGTAAGGCTTAAGATGAAATGCTGTTGTCATGTCTAGTGTAAATGGGGCTTTATAGTGTTGATTTCTTTTTTCATGATTTAGTCATCCATTCCCATTATCACATGATACAATAATGACAATACATCAGTACACACCTGAAAAATATCCACAGTAAAATTAACATGGCATCACAGAAAATACAAATGAGTAATTCATTTCATTTCATTATGCATTCCGTCTTTTAAACAACATTATGTACATAATTGAAGTCACAAAAAAAACAAACCAGAAATTTGGGAAGATTGGGTCTAACTAAATTGAACCAAATTACTGTAGCATAGCCGGTTGACTTAACCCCAAATTTAACAAACACACAAATATTAAATCTTCAAATATACAAAAAACAAGAAGCTACGTGGAAATTGTTATCTGTACATTAAAGATGGTGTGCAAACGTGGACCTACAGGGATTGGGGGACAGAGCCATTTAGATATAAGCTTTCATTTTTCATCATGGCAAATTTAATGCCAAACGATAGAATACTGGGTAAACTTAAAAGATGTATGACTCCTTTTTAATCTTCACTAGAGAAAATAACAAATTTTATATATGCAATACAGCCTGGAACTGTATATTATCTCATCACTATCAGTGGAAATTCTTATACAGTTAGTTATCTATGCTTGTCATCAGTACTTATCTGAATCATGGTTTATATGGCATGCAATGTTGTTGCAATTGTTAATTTCACATTGATGTTATCTATTCCCCAAAAATTCTCATGGGCGGTTATAAACAATTCCATTGTTTGTAAAGTGCTTATTAGATAGTGTGGTAAGCTGTCAGTTGCTTTTCCCATAATGATCTCACAAACCAACATAGTACCCGGCATAGCACTAGCAGACTATACAATACTATTTTTTTTTTTACTTTTAAAAATAATTTTCAACTGTACATAATTAATGGCCCTCTACAGGTACATGATAATATTATAGTTAAGTTCAGTTTTCTTTATTTGCATAATCTACATTTAAAATGCACAATTCAATAAAAATAAAATACAAAAGCACAAACAACAAAGCTATTATAAATATACACAATACCAATGCAGACAATAAAATACAGACAATATGTAAACAGATGGAACTATACAGCTACACAGATATTAATAATATTATTGAATATGTTCAGAGTGTCTGAATAGTTATCCCTCATGTTAATAAGTTTTTTTTATTTGCTCAGCAGTTTTAAGAGTATTGTCATTTACACTAATGATTTTATCATAGAGCTATTAAACAACTAGAGTGCTGACAAGATGGCGGGGCAATGCAGAGTTGTGTATGTGTACCATCCAAGATGGCTGCCGTAGGAAAGCGCCACCTTCAGGCTTAGTATACATATTATTACCATAAATAAACCCTCTGACTGAATATTATTTCATTAATGATAATTAGTATTGATAATGACAAATTATTAAACTCGTCGTCGTAGCCAAAAAGAGGCCAAGTAGAGCATCTTATTCAAATATTAAAAAGAATTAAAATCGTGTACATTACCCCCATACACCGCAACGCTCGAGTTTCAAAATACGGGTAACTAGCTGTGTACTGAACTTTCTGTGTAAATTGAGGGCGCCATTGAAAATGATAGTGCTCAGGCGAAATTTGATTGGCTGAATCTATGGCAGCCATCTTGGATGG